AAGATGGAGAATGATTTATTGTTTCCTTTTCTTATTTTTATGTTGCTTATATATACATGGGTTCATATATATTTTAGGGCAGACTTTTGGAAGAAAAGAAAAAAGAATATATTTTTTTCTCTCTTTAAATTTTAGGGTTTGTTTTCTCATCTAATGGAGGCTCCCACAAGCCTAGTTTTCCAAAGTTATTTATGGAGACTTATAGGTGATTCCTAAAGGCAAGACCATTACTAAGAAGATGGAGATTCAAGAAGAAGACATCTAGAAAAGGGATTTACAATAAGTGAGAACATTCACTTTAGAGTAGAGATCTAAGGTTTACTCAAACCTTTGATGTAAATATTCAATCTTTTAATTGAATGATACATCATATTTTATTTTTGCATAAAATTTGTCTCTATGTGATGAATCAAGATTTATATATGAAAATTCCTCAGAAAGTTTTTAAAACTTACACGTTTTCCAACACATTCTCAATCTGAATTATATAGAGGTGGTAGGTAGTGAGAACCAAAAAGTAAAACTGACTTATAAGATGTCTATTACCTATGAGAGAAGTATGGTATAGGCACACAACTGCACTGGTTTTATTTTTATTTCAGTATATTCTCTATATTTGGACTCTTTGGGTTCAAGGGATATCACATGTATGTTGGTATTCAATGAGTAATAGGTGACGTAAAAATGATGTACAACCATGCCATCAATTTCTTGGTTACAAATTTTAATGTGTCTAGTACTGTTGCATGGTCATGTTCGTGTGACCAAAAAATAGAAGGAACAGGAAGTGTCACAACTCACAAAGTAAAAAATGAGGAGGAGAAAGAGAAATTGAAGATTGAAGAAAAAGTTATTATATTTTATTATCAAATCATGGCAATACTGCAATGTAAAAAGAAATAAAAGAAAATAAGACAAAATAATTATCACAGGCAGTAGAAAAAAATATAATAACTTTTTCTTCAATCTTCAATTGGAAGTATGTTACTAAAAAGTGTGTGTCGTTTCTAACAGCAATTCACATGTGTGACAAGTTGCACCATCCTATTCCCACGTCGATGAAAAATTATTAGATTGTTGTGGATTATACACCACTTCTTTGTTTAATATAGTCAAAGTTATAAAGAGTTTTATAAGATGTTAACAATAGATTTAAATATTAGTGTTAATTGAATGTAATACAAGAAATGAGCTCAAGTAAGATTTTGGCAAATAAGCTCAAGCAAGCTCTTCTTGCCATCATTGACCCTTGCCAAAATGTTTTCATTAAGGGAAGACATATTGGGGATAGTGTTTTATTGGCTCAGGAACTACTTTAGGGCTATCATAAGCATCTTTCACCACCTAGGTGCGCTATAAAGGTCGACCTCATGAAAGCATTTGATTCAGTGTGGTGGGATTTTCTTCTGGATGTTCTTGACATCTTTGGGTTTCCTCTTCCATTTGTTGGGTGGATCAAAGCTTGTATCACTTCACCATCATTCATTATATCCCTTAATGGCGAGTTTCACGGTCACTTTGGAGGGGTGAAGGGCCTAAGGCAAGGCGACCCAATCTCACCACTCCTATTTGTTTTAGCAATGGAGGTTTTCACAGCTATCACTAAGAGGTTTATATCCCAATCCACAACCTTTAAATTTCACTCAAGATGCAAGAGTTTGGCAATTTCACACCTAATTTTTGCTAATGATCTACTTCTTTTTTGCTATGGGGACCTTGACTCTGTTTCTACCCTAAAACATACCCTTGACCACTTCTCAGCCCTTTCAGGATTGAGCACCAATAACTCCAAAAGCTCATTCTTTGTCTCGGGTGTGGACATTGATCTATCTAATGATATCAAGGCTTTACTAGGGTTTAATGATGGTTCTCTACCTATTAAATATTTGGGGGTCCCTCTGCTGTCCACAAGGCTTAAGGCTGATGATTGTCGTGGACTTGTTGAAGGAATTACAAAAAGAATTAACCACTTGTCAGCCAATTTTCTATCTTATGCAGACAGAATCCAACTAATCCAAGCAGTCCTATACAGTTTGATTAACTATTGGTCTAGCCTATTCATCCTTCCAAAATCAGTAATAGCAGAGGTTACTAACCTTATGAGAAATTTCCTATGGTCAGGCACTGAATATAAGCATTCTAGAGCCAAGGTGAATTGGGTTGCCTGTTGTCAGCCTAAAGAGTTTGGGGGTTTGGGATTTAGAAATCTGGAATCTGCCAATATGGCAGCTGCTCTAAGGCATATTTGGATACTCATTTCTAATTACAGGGACAATCTCTGGGCTCAGTGGGTTAGAACACAACTTATTAGAGATCGTTGCTTCTGGACAATGGGAGTACCTCAATCATGTTCTAGAAATTGGAAGAAAATTGTGATACCCCTCGGATCCGAGACACGGGTTGATCAGGCTCAAGCCCAAACTCGAGGGAAATATCAAATAATTAATATTTAACGAAACACAGAATACAAGATGAAATAATAAGAAGTAAATAGCTGAAATGAATTCTAATGAAAAATCCTCAAAAATATAACTATTAAAATCCAAACTCCAAAACCTCCAATTAATTAACAATTTGGGAATCTATCTGGTGGACCCCTAATAAAAATCCCAACTGTAAAAAAAAATAACTGAAGTACGATCCAAAGCTAATAAGTAAGCAGTCTTACGTAGTCGGTGGAATAGAAGTCTGTATTCGCTCTGCACGACCAAGCTCAACCCTGGAACTGACGAGCACCTGAAAAATAAAAGAGTGGGTCAGACCCACATGCAAGTCCTGATCTACTACGATCCAAACAGGAATCCAATACGCAGATACATTTTAGATAGACTCAACAACATCTAAAGTAGTCCATATATGTATATATTACACACTATAGGACGCTCACTAGTCCAATAGGTCTGTCTCAGCCTGAGTAGAAATACCATGCAAATCGCACATTACGTGGTCATGTGTACCTAGACCTACCAGGGAACAACACCTCTGTCCAGCTATCTATCCTAGGCGATATATACACCCTAACCATGGTCCTGAGACTTAAGCTCATAACATGGTACCATATAATAAGTATATAAAGTCCGTGTCCATCCTAATACAAAATATCATCTAACTAGTGTAGTGGCTTGATATATGTATCACCATCCATCCCAGAAAACCAAGTTATGTCATTTAGTTATTTACTGACCTGACACTAATAGGAGTTGGACTTAACCTCTATGGTTATTCCACACCTTAATCCATTTTAGGTAGGACTTAGTATCTGAATTAATCCATCCCTAGTATGCCACCGTCCCATACTGGTGCATACAGTCCTCCAATCCACATAATTGATAAAAATAACATTTAATTAATTTATCAACAGTTCTCCGAAACATGCATCAGTATAATATACATAATAATGGCATTAGGTATTCACTACAGTACCTAAAAATCAAGCTCCAATTATTGAAACCGCTAAAATAAACCATAGCGTTCAAATCATTCATAACAGTCGATAAACCGATACAATTATAACAATTTAAGTATCAATTAATTCCAAACTAAGCATAGTTAAATATAATTAATTCACCGTACTTATAACACTAGAAAAATATATGATTATATATGATTAGATTATATATCAAAACCTTGCTAAGTTCAAGTAGATAAAACTAGCAAAATAGTGTGCAAGCTATCAGTTTTCTCTTGAGTTTTTTTTGCTCTAATCTTCAATCCAATTATGAATTTATATTTTTTCCACCATAATATCAGCCTTATACAATCCTATACATTATTTAAAACAATTTAAACTAAGTGCATATACCCAGAAAACCTAAACAGCCCTTAACACACACATTATAGTGTTTTTCAAGAGAGGGCATGCTCTTAAAATAGGAGCTTGCTCCATTTTTCCACCTAGAGCTGGCTCTAGGCTCTTAGAGCAGGCTCCAAGACACCAAGAGCCTGCTCTCCCCTTTGGGAGCAGGCTCTAAGAGGTTTAGGAGCCTTCTCTCCTTCCTCTTAGCAGCCCTCGTTCGTTCTAGCTTTGTCTTCTTCAACTCCAGTGATGTTCCAGCCCTCTACACTGTATTAAATTCCTATTCTAATATCTAATTAACATTCCAGACTACTTACAAGGCATCCATATGCATCAATAATCTCAAATAGCAAGACTTAAAACGCATAAACAGAAAGAACAAAGCTAACGGAGACTTACAGAATTTTATATAACAGTTTTGTTAAACGAGACTAATTATCAGTCAAGCATGCAACATAGATTGTATAAGTATTATTAAACTCCTAGAGTCCATCTAAACATGCACAGAATACAGATTCATAGGAAAGAATAGAACAGAAACTTGCCTTTGAGACTTTGAATAAAAAATCTCTAACTGTTGCCTCTATCTTCTCCGGCCACGTTGGTTGTGTTAAACAGCTCTTGCTGCTCCTATTACAGTCCAGTAGCCGACACCAAACTTTCCTCCTTGATTCTGTTTTGTGAATCATCCAAGTTCACTCTCCGGTTCTCTCTCTGCTTCCCTCTGTATCTCACAGTCTCTGTTTTTCTTTACAGAACTTACGTTTATTTTTCCTAAACCTTAAACCACCGTATTACGTATATTTATAGGTGTAAATTAACAATAACCCTAATCTATGTACAATTAGAGACTAAGCCCTAATTCCAATCCTAACCGGCCCATGAAACTATCGAAGTTGTAACATACGGCGGCTTACCTATACGTGAATTTTAATCCAAAGTTATAACTGTAACTTAAAAATACTAACTCAAATTTTAACACTACAAGAATTATAGTAATTAATTACCTAAGTTTAAAACATTAAAATACAACTAATTAATTAAAAACACTTAAATAATTAATTCCAATTAATAAACCAATTAAATAATTAAATAATTAAAAACACTTAAACAAGTAATTCCAATTAACAAAATTAAAAATAAATCAATTAAGTCAATTAAATCACCATAATAAAAAAATAATTAAACAACTAATCCAATAATATGACACAAAATCAAATAAAATGCTATTAAGTAATAAATAAAAATAAAAATTAAATATCAGAAATATCCTTAAAATTAGAGGTATTACAAAAATCCTCAAGCTTCAGAAGAGGGGCAAGGTCTATGATCAAGACAAAGGTTGGGAATGGTTTGAACACGTTTTTCTGGGAAGACAACTGGTTTCTAGGGGGCCTCTCTCCAGATCTTTCACTAAGGAAGAAATTTCTAACTCACCAATTCAGCCAAATCAGAAACTTGCAACGTTGATTCGCAATGGAGAATGGCATTTCCCGGATTACCTCGTTCAGCATTCCCCTGAAATTTGTAATATCCCTTCCCCATCAGCAGCTGAAGACACCATTACTTGGATTCCATCACCCTCAGGGGTATTCACACTAAGTCATACAATTGAGTGGCTCGGAGCTCACAGCCACCCGAAACCTTGGCAACACTTGATCTAGAATAGTCTCTCGATCCCTAGATGCAAATTCTCTTTGTGGCTTGCAGTTCAGAACCGGCTCTCCACCTATGATTGAGCAAGTATGAGGCATTTCACGGGCTCCAGACTGTGTCAGTTTTGTGGTCTCGTGGAGGAATCTCACAATCATTTGTTCTTCTCCTGCGCTTTTATTCGACTGCAATTTAGATTGCTTTCCAAAACAAGTGTCGATTTCATTTTTCTCCTTCTTCATGGAGTGACTTGGTGGATCGGGTGGCTTCTCGCTGGGCAAATAACAATCTCAGAAATTCCGTCAATAAGCTCGCACTCTCCACTGCAATCAACAAGATCCGGTAGGAAAGAAATGACCGAATCTTCAAAAACCAAAAGAGCAATCAGATTTCAATTTTTAGGCAAATTACAGATTTGGTAAGGCAAAGGCTTCTATCTACTTCAGTTAAAAACTCACCATGTGCAAGAAGGCTGAAGCTTGATTGGGACTGCCGGTGTTCATCGAACCACCTCCAGAGCCGCTGGATCGTGCCAATTAGGGTTCTGTTCCCTGTTGTGTTACACCGGACGTGAGTATAGTTTAGACAAGAATAGTCTAGTCCCCTAGACTAGTATTGTCTTGTTGCTATGCTGGCCAACTCTTGAGTTTGTTACATATTGTTTTGGTCAATGTTTTGTGAGTGGGCTGTCCATTCTTTGTGGGCTTGCCTCTCTTTCATGTAAATACTGCTTCTATCTATAAAATTATCTTACTTTCCCAACAAAAAAAAAAAAAAAATGATTTTGGAATATCAAATATTTCTTTATTGGTCTAAGCAATTATATTGCAAATTAGCAGTGGGATTTGGACTGACTAAGGGGTTAACCGACGTCAAATTCAAAATTCTAACGCTTTAGCTCGTGCCAAACTCGAGTGTCAATAAATTCATCAATTTCCAACTTGTGTTATACTACACGAGTCCTTGGGTCGTTCAAAAATATAATAATCTACCAATAATCTAGAATGAAAAAAGGTAAAAGTATATAACTACATAAATTTTATATGAAATAAAAAATAACTTATATCGATCGTTTGACAAAGATATTTTTATTTATTATTTTTTAGGGGGAACTTTTGAGTGATTAAAAATTGTGCGACTTAATAATATTCCTTTCGATAAGGATTTGGAAAGAACTTAGGCTCCGTTTGTTTGGCGTAATATATTTTTCTTTTAAAATATTTTCCAAGTAGTACTTTTTGATGTAAAATAGTATTTTTTATTTTTTGGTGTTTTGCAATGATCATAAAAATATTTTAAAGTGTATATATATATATATACATATATAAAAGTGTTAATTTCCTCTAATTCCAAATTTGAAACACCGATTCGGTATAGTATTAGAAGTTCATATTCCTTTTTCATTTTTTTCCTTAAGTCAGGAATATGTTTTAGTCTTGAATGAAAGTCTCTTCCTCCACCACCAAACAACTTTGGTATTTCTTTGTAGAAAATCTATGACAAAATCTAATAAAAAAAGAAAAGAAAAAAAAAGAAAAAAAAGAAAAAGGAATATGAACTTCTAATATTCAGTTGCATTTTTTCCTCGTTTGAAGTGATGAGATCAACATTGGATCCCATTCACTGGATAGACGTATGTGTGTGTGTATATATATATATTCCAAAGTTTTAAGCAATACTGAATATAAAAAAAAGTAAGTACATTATTAGTAGGCCTTGAAGTGAAAGGGCAAGCCCAAACAATCTCAAAGGAGAAATATTTTGGAGCAAGCCCAATATAAGTTGGAAGTAAAAAAAAAAAACAAATAGTCAAAGAGCGCAACCACCAAGCCGAAACAAAGAGCCACTCGCTTGAAAAATGCATTGGGATTGTTACCCTGTTGCTTGCTACACTAAAGAGTAGAACTTCGACGAGTGACATGAAAGATCCGAAAAGGGGAACAGTCACAGCTATACCAATCGTGCTGCTGATCATCAAGCAAGTCTTGAACAATATAGGCTAAGTAGTCTCCTATTGTTAGAATGGTGAAATAGACCTTCAATCAAGTGCAATATCGGTATAACCATTAATGAATATTTTGACACCGGATTGATCAAGGTAGTGTAGATGGTCACTTTTGAACTAATCTTTTCAGTAGGAAGACTTAAGCTTATCTGCAGGGAGGCACCTAGAAAATTATGTGAGGGCAGGGGCACTAGTGAATTTTTTTAGTAATTTCAACGGGGCAAAAGTGAAATTCTATAGGTATATAATTCAAAAATAAAGAATTAATAGAGGCATAATACTAAACAAAAAAAATTCAGCCAGGTCTGTGTCTGCTTACCTGTGACTCCACCTTTGAGCCAAACATTAGATACCCGGTGACTGCCATAGACACATTCGTTAAGGTACAGAAGAGAAAACACAGCATCATAACCTACAAAGAAAAAACATAACATTAGACCGCCAATCACTTGTGAAAAAAGAACCTTAATTAGTTCGATGACATTGGTATATACCTTTGTAAATTGAAGCTTGTTTGCCATAGAAGTGTAGAGGGTTGGGAAAACAGGATTTGCGCTGTAACAGAAAGCATATAAGCTGGTAGCGGTAGGGATTCCCTTCAAATGTAAAGTCATCCCCTTCTCATTAAACCCAATCCCACCAAATGCACTAGTCCACAAAGTCAAGCCAAGGATTATAGCAGATGTCAGCACTCCAGTGGCAGAGATATAAGACAGAACACTGAAGTTGTTGAACCAGACAGTGGGCATTACCACGAGGCCAACTATCAGTTCAAAACTTTGTATTCCTCCCATATGTAATCGTCCAATCTTAATTGCAACTTTGGGGAATAATTTGTGCAAATTATCAAATTATCCCATTCAATGATCAACTGCAAAGTAGTAAAAAAGATGTTGTGAAACCCAAGAAAGCTCCAACAAGTGACATAGGAGATCCAAAAAGAGGAACAGTCACAGTTACAACAATCGTGCATTTCACCAAGTAGGTGTTGAACAATAGGCTAAGTAGTCTCTTATTGTTAGAATGGTAAAATAGACCTTCAATCAAGTGCACTATCGGTGTAACCATCAATGAAAATTTTGAGACTGGATTAAGCAAGGTAGTGTAGATGGTCACTTTTGAACTAATCTTTTCAGTTGGAAGACTTAAGCTTATCTGCATGGAGCCACCCAGAAAATTATGTGAGGCCAAGGGCACTAGTGAATTTTTTTAGTAATTTCAGCGGGAGCAAAAGTGAAATTCTATTAGGCATATAATTCAAAAATAAAGAATCAATAGAGACATAATACTAAACAAAAAAAAAAATTGAGCGGGGGCTACAGAAGTCTGTGTCTGCTTACGTGTGACTCCACTTTTGAGCCAAACATTAAATACCCAGTGACTGCCATAGACACATTCGCTAAGGTACATAAGAGAAAATACAGCATCATAACCTACAAAGAGAGAGCATAACATTAGACCGCCAGTCACATTTGAAAAAAAAAACCTTAATTAGTTTGATGGCATTGGTACATACCTATGTAAATTGAAACTTGTTTGCCATGAAAGTGTAGAGGGTTAGGAAAACAGGATGTGCATCGCTGTCCCCTTCTTATTAAACTCAATCCCACCAAATGCACCAATCCACAAAGTAGAGCCAATCGAGCCAAGGATTATAGCAGATGTCAATACTCCAGTGGCAGAGATATAAGACAGAAGAACATTGAGGTTGTTGAACCAGACAGTAGGAATTACCACGAGGCCAACTACCAGTAATTTCAGATAAACAAATTAACAAAATAAAAGTAATAATGATTTTAGAACTATTTACAAGTTTTTAAATTGATTAACTTACTATTAGTAATAAAACGTATTATAACCATTTTTAAACATTTTTGTCGTAAAAAAAATATCATTTTTTTCATACAATAAATTGATGAAAATTTAATAAAATACTTTTGAAAAAAATACCTTCTTTTCATGTAATATATTCATTAAAAATTAATTAATTTTTTTAAAAAAAGTATACTAAATTTTTTAATTTAAATAATTAATTAAAAAATTAAAGGTAAATTTATGCAAATTTAATGAAAAATATCTCATCATATTAGTATGAATTTTTTCATAATTTATTTAGATAAGAAAAATATATTAAATGTAATTCAATAAGAAGAGACATTATGATCATTTAATGAAATATAGTATAGTCCTTAGGTATATTGCAACAAAATGAGATAGTTTAGGGTGTTTTATGCACAAAATATAGTTTAGGAAGATTATTTACAAATTTAAACATAATTCAAGGGTTTTTTTTTTATACTTTACCCTATATTTTATTGGGCTGGTTCTTTTTTGGTGTCTAGTGTGTCTTTGGGCCATGGTATTGCGATTCTTTTTGTTATGGGCCGAATGGCCTTATCACAAGTACTGGGATATCTCAGTCACAAATAACTAGACCTTTTTTCATGGTATTGTCACACTTTGAATGGATATCTATCAAAAATTAATGGAGGCTTTGAGCAACATACATTTCTGCTGAGTCTAGGCAAAAGATTCAGAATAAAAGTAATGATGATTTTATAACTATTTACAAGTGTCTTATTATATATCTATTGCAGTTAATATACCAATTATATTATATATAATAAGACACTTTGTAAATAGTGGACTTATTTGAATTTGAACTTGTTTTATATGGAAAGGAGGTGATGATGGGGTGTAGACAGATCATACAATTCACACAACACAATTGGCTCACACACATCACATGAACCACTGATCAATTTTTTATGCCACCTATATATATACACACACACATTGATGTGCTTTGTGATAAGATAAACAAATTGTTTGAGTGAATTTTTGTACCAATTCTGATAGTTGATCTTACTCTTCACAAGGCTGGTATATATCTTACCCTGATTTGCCTCTTTTTTAAAAAAAATAAAAAGCCTCAGTGAATATAGGCTCTCACTATTGTTCGATTGAATAACTAGTGTTAATAGTCTGGTAGAGTTGCAAATGAATAATGTTGAATCTAGCTTTAGTTTGTTCGGGCTCAATTCTTTCGGTTGGGAGCTCAACTCGAGCTTGACTCGAAATCGTGACGAGCTCAAAAGGTTGAACTTGGATTCAATTTGTTATATTATATTGAAAAGCTCAGGCTTAACTCGTTTAATAACAAAAGTCATTCAAACTCAATCTGAACTTTTGTTCAAGGTCGTTTTGGCTTGTTCATGAACCTATACAAGCTTACACAACTTACAACTACAAGAATTTATACAGACCTACAAATTCAAGAATTTATAAAAACTTATTTTTATAAACATGTTCTCGAACATTTACGAACCTACACGAGTTTATGTAGGCACACAACCCATGTAGAGACCAGTGGAGCAGTTGCCCCTATTGAATTTTTTTTTTAGTTTTATGTACTTATAAATTTTGTAAATTTTTGACAATGCCCCAAATGAAATTACGAAAAAACTTCAATGATGCCCCCTCTTAATAAAGTTTCTGGGTTTATGCTCATGAGTCGAGCCCAATGTTGTTTAGGATTGACTCGTTTACTAAACGAACCTAAAAATCAAGCTCAAACTATGCTTGTTTCCTTAACGAAGATTACTTGAGTTATTTATAAACAACTCGATTCATTTGCAATCCCATGTGACGATACGATGATGAAGGCAGGATCTTACTAGGGCATCTCTATCAAAACACTTTTCATATTATTTATTTGCTTCGTAGTCCATGGTTTGAGAAAATCATCCAATATGTTTATGTTAACTAAAGAATGATTTGTCATAAAGAACCAAGAAACAAAAGGTATAACCATTTTGCGTTCTTGTATAAAGTCATAAAATTGATTTTTAAAAAGCTGTAATTGATTTTGGTCAAAAGTTTTAAAG